TCTTTAAATTATAAATCTATAGTTTTTGTTTAAAAGAGTGAACACAAAAAAAAAACATGTAAAAAGTTCACATTGATGAAAATAACATTTTATTAATTTTTCTGGATATCCTCATATTTTAACAACAGTATTATGTCTGTTTTGCTCACACATTGTTGTCAATATAATGGAATTCTATATGACTGTCATACAAGTGAGATGTTTAGCTAGCTATAAAACCAGGTTCAATCCACCATTTTCTACATAATGAAATGACTGTACAAAGTCAGGAATATGACAGTTGTTTTCCATTCGTTTGATGTATTTGAGCTTTTGATTTTGCCATTTGATAAAGGACTTTCCGTTTTAAATTTTCCTTGGGGTTCGGTATTTTTGTTATTTTACATTTTTTACTGATCAAACACATTCACGGTGTTTTGATTAGAGTGCTGAAGCTGTCTAACTTCCAAAGGCGTTCCATATAGAGCACTTTATAAAATAATCATAAGCTGAAACTTGGTGTAATTTTGGTAGTATCTGCATGTTACCATGATAGCATATAAATGCACTTCCATGACTGTAATATCATTTTGAAAAACAAAATAATATTTTTCGCTTCGTTTTGATTTGAAGAAAAATGAAACTCATTAAGAATATTTTTATCTTTCAAAGCAAATGTTAAAATAATCAAATTAATGCAGAAGGAAATTAAAAAAACCGTGCATCATCTGACTTCATTTATAACTAGTATTTAGAATTAGTTTACTTTTGGCAAGAAATATTTGATACGTTTCATGCAATTCGTCGTTTTAGAATCTAATAGTCTATGGGTAATTTCGTTGTTCGTACCTAACCCAAAATTACAAATAACAACTGAAATTCCATTAATTTGGACGTTTTATGAAATAACGAAGTTTTTGTGTACGCTTTCGAAAATATTTCCGATAATGCATAATACTAAGGAGTTTCTACCCCAGGTATAGATTACCTTAGCTGTATTTGACAAACCTTTCGGAATTTTGGGTCCTCGAAGCTCTTCAACTTCGTACTTTATTTGGTATTTCAAACATTTTTCATTCAAGCGTCACTGGTGAGTTTTTGTAGACGAAACGCGCGTCTGGCTTACAAAATTGTAATCCTGTTATTTATGATGAGTTAAATTAGACTCTGAAACGGCGATTTCTTACTGTGGTAAACTAATCAACTCATGCAGAACAAATTGGTAAATGAGGACTGATGGTGTCCTAGTCCTGATTGTGTCGTTTTGACTGATTTGTACGGTGGGTAGTGCATGCATAGCAGGAGACGCCAACCAAGTCGACGCACCCGTTTAGGTCCTTTTGGGGTTCATGCGATTCTCTCTGTTTTTGGTTGTTACCTTGATTAGCCTTCTTCGTCGATTGACGAGTTTTAAAATCGGTAAACTACTGTTACATGTATTTACTATACACCTTATCGCTATCTGTCCGCCGTTACATCCATTACCATTATGTTCCCGTAAAAATTTGACAGCACAAGAGGAAATGTCTGACGCAACAGGACAAAAAATATTGTATATCGGTAATAGTTACTCAAACTATCGGGACAAGTACTACCGTCGCAGATTTCCTTATAGTGAATCTTTCATTTTCCTTTTGAATATCGTGTTAAAATTTACAGTTGACAATGTTATTATATTCTAACCAGATAAGATGTTCGGTGCTTTTAGATTGTACTTGGTCTCTCGTTTAGTAATAAATACTTGTTTTGACTTCAATAGATTAATATTGAGGTCCAGGATATTATAACGATTCATTTGATTTTGCATTAATTTACCTAGTGACGTTTGCAAAACTACCACGATTGATCCTGGCCGCACTGTGAATATTTGCTATTGTAATGATATTCCTATGAGCAAATTTTTGGTAGGTTTAAGTTTAAAATAGAAAATATTATATCCTGCGGCCATGGACCCTTCCCCCTTTCACAGGACAAAGTGTGCAACTTCCGTTTAAAAATCTAATACATTCTGGTTTCAAAAGTCTACACCAAAACGTTACTGTTAGGTTTATTAACAAATTCTTAATACTTGATAGCTGAACATTTTTGTAAATTTCACTTTCTTATGAACAATACAGTTCCAATAATACTATAGGTTCTTATAAGGCACAATTCTAGAAAAAAATATGGAAATGTTTCCCTTAATTCGTTTTATTCACGAGGTCCAAATCCAAATTTTATGAATCTTGTGAAAATTTGAATATTAAAGAGTCTTACAACTGTTGCAGTACTTAAAAGCTTATTTTACAATTTTAGATAAATATATATTTACAACACTGTATTAAATACACATAAACTCGGCAACATATGCTACTGAAGACAATTTTAATTTCACATACATATTGCAAATTTAAACGTTTTTTGCTTGCAGCCTACATGCTTAAACATCAAAAACCCCAAAAAGATACTGTAAATTCGGCGATGCTCTTATTATTGTAAAAAAATGGCGATTACATTGTCGGTATGTTTCGCAAAAATAAAAACTCTCATTTTAAATTCTGATAGCAGTATTTGATTGCAACATATCTTGATATCGCAATAGTTAATCTCATATTTTTGTCCGTTGTTGAAAAACTACATTGATTCTTGCATGTAATAGATATGTAGATATAAAGAACTCAAATTTTGCTAAGATTTTCGAAAATGTAGTCTTTATACATTTATCATTCGGGGTTTACATGTTCAGAAATATGACGTGTGAGACCCCCAAAGTACACACATGTGAAGCTTAAATATAGATTGAAAACACTTTAAAACAGTTGGCCTTGGGTGTTAACAAGTAAATAGGAAACTACTGTCTAGCCTTTCATCTAACAGTTTTTTTAATTAACGTTGAATTTTAAAATCTAAGCTTCCATTGCTGCATAGCAAATTATAACAATATAGCGCACCTCATGTCCAGCCATTTAGTCCTATAGATATTATTGGTATTCTTAAAATGATTTAAATGATACAACCCATTTGTTTCCCTTAGATCAAAATACCGCTAAAGTTAATTAATTTGGTAAATTTTGTTGGCGTGAAATAACCTTTACTATTCATGACTTTTTGCCAACATGTCTTATTAACGTTTAGACAATCTCCCCTATCTACAGTCACCTGACAGTAATCATTAAAAGCCAAGGGAATTCTATCTTCAATTTACATGTAAATCAAACATTTAAGGTTAAATTAACGTCTGCTAGTGACACCAGGTCAATACAAAATGATAGAGATTAAACGTGAATCTTAGGTTGACGGTCAACGTTAATGAAATAATAGAAAAATGATGGGGTACCGCATACAGATCAGCTTCAGTTGTCTTTCTGAAGCACATGCTTTGCAGATAAAGTTTTTTTTATGAATTGAATGTTAAGTGCCAGTCTTTGTAAGAATCAAGCAATTTTGAAAAAAAATCAAAACATGGCCGAAAAAAAAACCACCGACCTAACCATCCTAATTTTAAGTTACCCTCAAGTCCTGAGTTAGAAATTGTAGGTCTTTTGTTTCTGCGTGTCTGGTAATTCGGGAAATCTCTAGATAGCTTTTGGTTAGAATGATAGCAAATTACGGAGTTAGCTCCCCTTAATTTTTAATTTCTAGTGTATTTCAACCAAATTTTATCTTGAATTACCAGAACAGGAAAAGGAAACGAATGTTATATTCGTGCACCATTATACAATTTGAACATGAATTAATGTCAACTTGAGTGGGTTTTTGTTTGTCATGTTTTCACCACTGCCTGATTCTTAGGCAGACTGGCACTTTTAAGTATATTCAGTTTAACGTTGATAAAATGAGAGGTTGTGTAAACGTCAATGATACAGTAACCCAACAACACAAGTAACCATAATACATATAGAGGGCAGCACATACAGTTTGAATAAACAGACAGGTGTTCATACAATAAGTCAAGCTTTAAATTTAAAGCTACAAAGATCGGTGCACAGGAAAAATTATTAACGCTTAACTAACGGTATGGTAATAATTAAAAAAAAAACATCTTCCCTTTCAACTACAATTGTTTCAATTTTCAAATTACGCTAATTTGCACATTCCGTATACAAAACAAAAATCGCTTTTTTTCAGTTTACAAATTTGTGCAGACTTTGTCTTCTTAAATACTAATTGATATAAGCATTTTTCTAAAAATCCTATTACAACACTGAATTGAGGCAACAAAGTTAATTAACACTTTGTCAAAATGTCCAATAAACAAAAAACTGCTTACTTAAAATATAACAATTAAACACGGTAGTTCAAAAGAAATTACCAAGTTACCGCAAGTAACGGAAGATATAAACCAATATACTAAGCAGACGGAAAATATCTTAGGGAGAATCATATTCGAAGTTAAGGATGTTCGCTCCTCTTGTTTTTGAATTTTTGCCAGATATTCGGAATCCTCTGGTTTTATCCATGTAATGCCATTAAAAAAATTTCCCCGCTAATTCCTACTTTTCTTTTCATAATTTTATTACATATAGTTTAAAAAGCCATATTTGAAAATGCTATAAAATCCTTGTTATTTTTTCATAATTTTTCAAAGAAAAAGGTTGTCAATGTTAAGTGTATGAAAAGTCTAGAGAAAATTATTTCCCACCAAATTTTCAATGACTTATATCTCGAAAACAAGCACACGGACCCTTCATTTTTTTCTGCTTTTTTAGTTCCTTTATTCATATACTATCAATTTATAACAGACTTTTAAAAAGCTTGTTATTTTGAAACAGAGTAGCGAACATCCTTATGTCGAAGAGAGACGGACAAAATCATAGAAAATGCGCAATGCGACGAAAAGAGAAACAGCAGTCTACAAAACATTTTATAAAAAACTAAAGGCTGAGTAACAGAACACCACAAAAACTCGGGGTTATCTCAGGTGCTCCGGAAGGGAAGGCAGCTCCTGCTCCACATATGGCACACTTTTTTAAGAAGTGATTGAATTCAGCTGGGAATTTTCTAATTTGTTTCCAAAAGTATATGCTTATAATTTAACTTACCATCAATGGATGACCAGAATTGTGAGCATTGTGCTCAGCATGTCCAGTGCTGTTTGTTCCATTTTCAGGTCTCACCGTAGTTTGAGCAAATTCCTCTGGTATGATAGTGGACATGTTCATATTGAGCAAAAAAATTTAAATTCCGCTCACTTAATTCATTCCATTTAAGCTAAAATTTGCACACTTAGTTTTTTTTTTTTTTTTTCACTTTTCAAAGTTTCAATACTTTTTTTGTTTTCTTACGGCTGGTGTTATCAGTTTTGTTCAACTTCCGTCAAGTAAAGCTGCAATTGTTAAATCTCTGTCAACTGAATCAATCGTTTAAACTTCCTCCTACTTCAAATGGATATTTATGCGCTAATGAGGAAATCTTCTTACTGCTTTGTTCTAAAAAATAATTAATTTTTAAAACGTCAACACATTTCTTTTCATATAAAATAAGAATTAAAAAATATCTGTAATTCTAAGACATCTATTTATCTAAAATGTTTTTGTAATAGCATGTGGATATTGTATTTTGCTAACGCTAAAATTAATACCACTAAGTTCAATAGCTTCCAATGATACGATGCCTATCGTAGAATAGTATCACTTCAGAAAGTCCTTCCCAACTTTATATCTCTCGATGGAGAGCAACATGATAAATTGATTGGGGCAGAAAAATTATTTCTTTAAAAATCGATATCACATTAGCTAATAACTTCAGAGCGATAGTATTTACTGAGGTGATATACAACCTATCATGATAGCATAATAGATAATTATTATCAATTATCATACCTATATATCGTGTTCTCCGGGTTGCCCTTAATTATAATAATAATCAAATCAAATCTCACATTTCGAACATTTCATTGTATTTTCAATGCACACAATTGTATAGAGAAACACGTTTGTTTTTGTGATGTGGGCAGACGTACCCACGTGGGCATGTATATGAAATTTCATACAAAAATTAATAAAACTAGATCATTTAATCGTCATTTTTGAAAAGAAAACGGCTTAAGTATAAAGACGTTGAAATCAACAATTAAAGATAAAATAGTTCTAATCTTTTCATATATAATTTCAAGTAGATTTTTTATGTATTTTTGAATTTTAACAAATGCCGTTATATATAAATACTATTAGTAGTTAAATATACAAAAATATAATCAAAATTTTTATCTATATATCTTCTTATCATTTTTTTAAACATTGAAATTTGAAATTTTGGTATGTTGCTTTTAAAATAATCTAGTTTAAATTTTGGGTCGTGTGCTAATGATCTGGAAGATAAAACATATAGGCATGTTTCTTTAAGTTCAAAGTGCATTATAATTATTTAACATGATATGTTAACGTTAAAAACATGTTGTAACGACCAGAAAGCTTACATATTTGGCTTTCAAATACCTCTACTGGTGGACTATCAGTCCCCGAGGGTATCATCGGCTCAGTAGTCAATACATCGGGACTGACATGATTTATAACAAATCTTTCTAAAATTGTCCGTAAATGCATTTTAAAATTATAAGAAACTAAGATTACCTTAGATGGATTTGGCTATTTTTTATAGGTCATGTTGCACTTTAACTGTCCCGGTTCTTATATATCATTGGCTTTCAAATATTTGGCTTTGGTCGTTCCTGATGAAGTTAATCCAGAGAAGCGCTTCGGATGCATACAATTTATAACGTGTTGTTTTCATTTTTTACAAGACTGTTTGGATTTTATTATGATTCCGGCGAATACTTATTATACTTAAAAATGAAAACATATAATTTGAAAGTATTTGATAGGTATCTTGATGGAATGCTTTTATTTATGACAGGTATGCATTCCTCGAATGCCAACACAATGTATTGAATATATATGTTGTTTAAGTTAATGGGTGGTGTTTATGTAAAACTTTTAAAAAAAAAATGTTTATCAACTGAAAAACCCTTCAAACTTTAAAGGTAAAAGTAACATTTTTTTCTTAAACAAAAAATAAGTGAAATAAATTTTAAAGCGAGGAAACTAGTATAAAACCTTAAAATTTTTAAGTTAGAAATAGTATTTCAACGAAAAATTAGCATTATTCTTTATGAAATAAAATAAAAATGAAAACAATGTATTGACATATCAAAAAATGTAAACATCCAAAGCATAAACCCTATGATCAAACGTTTGTATGCACCAGCTATAATTTTTACAATGATGATTGGTTTACTCCTAACGTAATAATTTGTTATTAGAGTTATACAATCATGCCTTTACATTGAATTTACCAGTTACACAATTCTTTACATGAAACATCTTGCATTTTATGAATAATTAATCAATTTTAATAAAAATGAACTTCCGTGAGAATTTAGACAGTCAATTTGACACTAACTGATAGACTGTTATACCGTAACGGCGGTTATCCATAAAGGGAGCGAAATACTGTTTAGGTTAGCGTAAGGAAAGTATTCCTTAAACCTTCCTTGTGTGTATTCGCATTATCGCCATAATTAATGAGAGAGAATATTTTGTTAAATGATGTAATTTCAAATCTACTGATTTTTAATTTGCTCTTTGCATACTTACTCCATATTTTTACTCTTAAATATAGAGGTGACGTCAGTCAATATAGTTTTGCAAATTCTTTTAAAATATTTGAAAATCGCCACTGCCTGGATCCGATTACAGCTGTGAAATTTATAACTACCATATTTTTTCAATTTTTTTTTATCTTAAACATCTCAAATACTCCAAGGTTATTCGAACCTCGCGTATTTAAAAAAAAACACTTTTTTAGTTAGTTAGTTAACGGGGATTGTTTACTTCATACAAAACAACTTACAAATGCGCCAAGTCGGACGGTGAAAAACTCTTTCTCTGTATCTGTTAAAGTATCAATATTAAAGCCAAAAAGCAAAACTTGTTAAGAAAAATTATCATTAAAGGGTAATAACTCGGATAAGGACTTCACTAACAATTTCGGCCCTTTAATCTGTATGTAGATATTGTCTTGATGATTAATTTAGCTGTTTAAGGTGTCTCTGTGTTGGCTTTGTTTTCGCCAAAATCGCAAAATGGGTGAAATCGTTATAGAAAGGCAATGACTCCAATTAGAAATCGACAGACGATTTCGGTCATATTGCCTTATTCATTTGTAATAAATCTATCTATTTATGCACCTCTAGCTGTCTTATGTTTAGTTTTAAGCGTTTATGATGGATGTAAATCCAGAAAAAGCGCCTCGGACGTACGAAATTTTTGAAGTGTTTTATTTTCTTTTCGTAGATCTTTTTTGCTGATCGATTTCCCTGTTAACGAAAATTTCAAACAAAAATAATTCGGAAAATCCCGCAACTGTTTTTTTTTTCTTTTCATAGATGTAGTTATTTCTTAACCACCTGCAGCGTGAACCTCTATCCCGAGCTCTTCATGTGATCTTATTCAGTTCCATCCTTATATCATGGCAAAAAAAGAACCCTTGCAATGACAATGATGTTATTTTTAGGTAAAATTATACATCTGTAATTTAGTCGATTTATTCAGTTCAGTACGGTACTGTTTCAGGATTTTTTTATTTGATCCAATCTGGGAAATTATTTTGCACGTCAGAGTTTTCATTTGGAAAAATACGATGACCTTGTGCCGCTTTGAATTTTACCATTGCTTAATTGAAAACCCCTACGATGTAATAAAAGGCTTCAATACAACACAATGGTTACGATGTGAAATACAGATCACTATGCTTTCTTTTCTACTAACTTTTAAATAAAGATTGAAGAACATAAAACTCTTTCCGTTACTCTACCAACAGTACTTTTAATCAAAGTATCAATTAATCATCCATGAGGGTCTAAATGGGGTTACAGAATAGAAAATAATGGGATAAAAGTACATGGGCCAAACAATAAGGAATAGAGAAAAATTTGCCAAGAAATACAGAATAGAGAATAATGGGGTGCTAACATATAAATGATACAGAATAATGGGCAAACAAATTAAATAATAGAGAAAAAATTGCCTTACAAATTAAAGAATACAAATGAAAACCCCGATCCAGACCCTCATAGCTTGACATTCAGTTATATCATTTCCTGTTTCTGTTTTGTGGTTGAACATTTTTTTGCAGATACAGATACTATCATACACATGTTAATGTACTAACATACATAGTACTGTCGATTAATCGCATACCTTAGTTAAGTTTCTCTTTCGTATTTTGCTGTTTATTTTAATTTCGAGTTTGTATTTTCATGAATAACAACATCGGTTAACAATATGAATAATATGTTTACATCTTAGATTGTTATAAATAGTTTTAAGAAGTATATTTCTATCTAGATATAAGAATATGTGGCCTTTCTAATATACAGATAACAGGATGCGATATTCGTATATTAGGTTAACTTTATAGTCTCCTGGTAACCTGTTTCTGTTGTGAGCGAACAATTATGTTCAAATTACTGTTTACGTCACAGTTCAATTTGGTGTCCTCGTCGCGGTCCGCGTTAAGTCCTGCTGATTTCATGCAAAAAGATATTCATAGATTGGGAATTAAAAAATGTATATACATTTAAGCGAAAATGATGAATTGCAGGATAAAATCAATATTCGTACAATGAATTTAAAAAAAAATGAATTTTTATTCACTACGAAACGGCGAGCCTCTTCTTTCCATCGTTTCTCAAGCTCGTACAAATACATTTTATATTTTCCTTCAATGTACAAATATTGTATATGTATATATAACAATCTATATATATTAATCAAATTTGAATCTGTATAGTAATCTGAGGGTTTTTTTTCTGTACAGGGAACAACTAATATAAAAATAAGACGATATTGTATGATTGCCAATGAGACAACTTTCAACCAGACAACATGACTAAAACTCCGTACATTGACCGTTTTCCGTTCCGGAACTATTTTACTTTACTCCATCAATTAGTGTAGAGTAGTATTCCGCGGATTTTGCAAATGACTTAGAAGTTGACAACTTTAGGTCCCTGCACTAAGCCTGCATAGAGATATGTTCCCACATCGTGATTTTAATAATTGTTGAATAAGGGTGCGACCATTTGATTCTCGTGAGTTGGTGGGTTGCATTGGGATGAGATGATTGTGGATGACAAGATGAACATGAATCTAGTGATACACACACAAATTGTAGGAATTGCATGTGTAAAAAGGTGAGAGATAAATCTTACGCGGCAAAATTGCGGAATTAAGCCTCGTAGCAACAGATGGAAATTGTTATTCTCTCTGCAAAAAAAAATGTTAAAACTATTGTATCTTTATAGCAATAGTCACTAATTTCAATACAATCGTTGATTTCTCTCCGTTTCAAGTTTTCTTTCTTGAACTTATGAGACGTATAAATTCTATAGTAGCAGATTTTAATTGACAATAGATCTTCCAATTAT